AATTTGCAAGGTCCTTTCGTCGAGAAACCTTATCGTACAGTAAACGAAAATTACTCCTTTCCTCCTTTCTCTCTTCTCCCCCACCCCTCTCTTATTCGCTGATTATCCGGCCGAGATAGAGAAAGTGAGAAGCGGGTGAAGGAAGAAGCGCGAGCAGATAATTACGCAAGACCGCGGCGTATATCGGTGGCGGCGACATTCCGAGAAGCTGAGGGAACCGTAAAGATTTCAATGACCTGCTCCACCTACCGACCGCCGTGGTCGGCGGTGGTGTGTGCGCCGCGGTACCGCGTTGCCGTCGTCCTTCGGAGGTGTGCTCCTGGCACTCCTCGGCGGCGGACGAAGAAGAGGAGGCGCGGCAGGCGCGAAAGAGAGGAAAGACACGCGGAGGATATCGGAAGATCATTCTCGAGGGGGGTAGGACGGGAGAAGGAGGAGTGAAAAAAATGAAGAAACCGAGCGTCCTCTGTGAGGACACCGTAATATCGCTCCGCGATGGACGCTGTCGAACGACGGAGGATACGAGCGCGGGCAAGGGGATCGACGGGGTGCAAGGCCTCCGCCGTCCCCGTCGCGAGGGAAGAGGCCCCGCGCGTCGCGCCCGGTGGCCCGCGCGTCCAGTAGAAACGGCGCAGCGCGGCTTAAGCGCCCGTGGAATTATCCTCCTGTAAACACCTACCTAATTAAGATTGGAACATTTTAACGTCCCGCTCGGGGACCCCAATAAACCGCCTAACGTACGGCCAGTTTGTTAGGCGCTTATGGGATCGTTTAATTAATATTGGCGTCGGAGCAGCGCGCCCGGCTCGGAACGGCCGACGACCACCTCCGGCGCCTCCTCTCGGTGTCTCGCCCTCGTGCACTCTCTCTCCCTGTCTCTCTGTTCTGTTTCTCTCTCTCCCTGTCTCTCTGTTCTGTTTCTCTCTCTCTCTTTCTCTCTCTCTCTTTCTCTCTCTGTCAGCTGCATGTGTAATTCGCCGTGTACGCGAGCGGCTGTCGCGACTGGTTTGCTCGCGCGTGTGGTATGCGTATGCCGTCTTTAGCGGCGGTCGTCCGCACTCCTCTCGTCGACTCCTCCGGGTATATTAGTCCCGGAGCTGGTGGTCATTCGTTGCATCGCGGCGACGACGAGTCCGCTCGACGGTACCCTCATCACCGCAACCCCTCCCGAGTGTATTCTGTTCGCCGGATGCGTCACCTAATCAATCGCGACGGTGCACTAAGAAAAAGTGTCTGGTACTTGTAACTATATAATCACATAGGGAAATAATCACTATAAATTATAGTTAAGATTTTTGCTATTAAATTCTTACTGTAATGTTACATACTGATGTGCATATTACTAATACGTCTTTTTCGTCTTGGAGCAATCAAAAATATGATAGAGAACAAAAGTAACTGATTTTAATTGGATCAACCATTTTTTTCTCTCAGTGTACTCTGGACGCATGTTGGCATTCAGCGTGGCCATTCAATGTTAATTTCGAGTTCTTCACGTGAACGTGAACGTCACGTATAACATTTTTTCAGCATGGGTATCAGAAATATGTTCGAAATATGGTCGAAATATGATCCACAATGCAGAATTTTCATTAACTCTTAAAAATTTTCAAAAACACATCCGCTCATTTATTCTCTCACTCATAAAAGCACTGTCGTGTTCTTTAGTTTACCTAGGCGAAGTGAAAGCTCTGATGATAATAATCTTTTTCGTCGACGTGAGTAAAATTGACGGGAAAAGAGAGACGTTTCTTCTGTCCGCCGTCGTGTTGTGCATCCGATGTACAACCCGGGTATTCGCGGAGAACGCGACGAAGATTGTCCAGGACGCGAGACGCGCGAGGAGGGCGTGCAACAAACGGGCGCTCGTTGCCGCGGAAATTTATCATCGACTTCCACGGAGACGCGAAGCGGGCGAGTCCTCGCACATTAAGCGAACGCGGGAGGGTTGCGAGGACGCGAGGTATGGGCCCGCGAAGAGAGAAGAAAATAGAGTCACGGCACGGCGGCGTGTTCTTGCGCGGCAGGCGGAGAGGGCGGCCCAAGGCCGATTAATCACGGTCGCATTTTGCGGTTTTGTCGCGCGTCACGACCCACGTGCGTTCCGCGGGGTCCATTGTTCCGCGCCTAATCGTTCCGGGAACGGTGTCGGACAGTCGTTCGCCGTGGGAGAGTTGCTGTCGTACGTAAAACTCGCGCGCGGGTGCGTTTCGCGACGGAGGAGATCCTCCGCTGCGGTTCTCGAGACGCGTCTACGTTCGTTCAACAGCTGACGTCGGTTTAATAAATTCGCTTTCGTCGCTTTCGTCGTGGGTAGAACGATAATCAGGAGAAGCAGGATGGATTCTTATCCCATCATAACCACAATTGTTTTACAAACATTTTTAATTAAAGGAACACTTCGCTCATATTACAAAGAGTTCGGATAATGAAACTACTTTTATAGAAAGTATAAATGTAACAGAGAGAATTTAGTACTAAAAACATGAAAATAAAATTGTATTTAAATAATTTTGTTCTATGAAAAAGAAGCGTCCCATAAGTGGGACTCTAGATGGTAATGGGTTAAAGCAGGCTTATTTAATCTGGATCGTCCTTCAGGCTTCACGAATCTGCGTGAAAGATCTTGCTGTAAATATATTAATCGTGCGAAGCAGATTAAAAAACGACTGTTTAAACAAAATAATTTTCTTTGATTCTCTCGCGTGACCACTCAATCTTTCAACACGTTCCACGCAAAGCCCGAGACACGCAAATAAGTAAATACCAAGTGGTTGTGGGCTCTCGCCTGATAAAAATTACACCGCCACGTCCCCTTGGGATGATGGCCGGCGGTAAAACCAAGATCGAAACCGCGTTCTCACACCGTCAGTCTGACCCGACAGTCGGATGTTTTCATCAACGCGCGCGATATAGCCGCGTGTATACCGCGTTTTTTCCCCCAAAATTGAATTACCGGGCAGTCTCGGCTCGCCGGAGATTTCTCTCTCTCTCTCTCTCTCTTTCTTTCCCTCCCTCCCTGTCGAAGGCGCGTCTCGGCCTCTCGGCCTCGACGGGGACGAGAATCAGAAACGCACGGCACGAGGGGCAGGGTGGAGAAGTTTCTAAAAATGGCGTCGCGCGGACCCACGGCGCGGTAAGTCCGGGGCCAATTTCGAGGGGCCATTTTCCCCCGAAGGGGAACGTCGACGGCAGCCGAAAATTACCCCGGTTGGACCACCCAGTCGTGCCGCTGCAGACCAATCTCCTGGCCATGGGCTAATCGAGTCCAGACAGTCCCCCTTGGTGGGGCTAATTGCGCCTCACCACTTTCGTACCTCCGAGAGGTCGACCTCTCTATTAAGAGACTTTTACCCGGACGCGCTCGCACGCCGCCGCCGCGCCGTGCCGCGTCACGTATTAAATTGGAGGGTGTAAGCTCGTCTCTCTAAGAGTCTTTTCTTTAAAGAGGCTTTTTTTGGGGTGGTTGCTGCATGGAGGGGCGGGGGAGATGGTGTGGGAATGCGCCGCGCGGTACCGTTGGTGGTTGGATCGCCGTCGATCGAGTCGATCCCTCGCGTGTTCACGATGACGTTAAGTGCGAAACTTCCTGCGAAAATCAGTCAGGTGGATCCCGTCTGTATACCGTCCAGTCGTCAGCACGACTCCACGAGGGTCGAAAAGTCCTGTTTGTCGTTCGTCTCGCCGGAATTTACCCCCGAACTCAAGAGTTGGAGGGGAGAAGAGAAACAAGAGTAAACAGAGAAAAAGAAGTGTCGACGGCGGGACAGGAGCGGAAAATGTAAGGAGATAAAGTAAGGGAATGAGGGATTTCTCCTTTTCGGTTTATGGCTTCCGCTATCGCCGAAACGCGCACGCATGCACGCACGCACGCACGCACGATACGGCGCGAGCCCTTGACGGTCTTTATGGTTATGCGAAATTCCTCTTCCCGGTCGCCGTAAAACTATTTTACAAGAGATGGCAGTAGTCCTTTATTGCCCGTGAAACTCTCGTGTATAAGGCCGAAATTACAGGTAAAAGCCTGTGTTCTACACGGCGCGGTGATATACGGGGCCTCTCCGTTCTCGGTGTTTCCTTAATTTATCCTTATTATCACGTCGCCAGGCACGTGAGAACGAAGGGATAAACTCCTCGTCGCTCGAGGACGTGTGTGTCGGGTCGTCCTTCGAGATTAAGTTTTTAGCGTCCTCCTTTCTCGCCCCTTTCCTCACTCCACCTTACAGAGCGAGTTTGATGGAAGATTTTGAAATATCCTATCCAAACAACAGTTATAATCGAGAGGTAAGACAAAGGCAAACTGGCCGAGTACCTGTACTAAAATAGAGAATGGGAACTGTTGACGTGGCAAACTCAGAGATTAAAAAAAATCAACACGGAAAACTACTATAAAAAAAAAAAAGAAAAAAGGTTAAAGCATGAAACTTTTATGGGTTTTTTTTCAACGTACCTCTATTATGAGATATAAATGTATCGCGAATACGTCGTGAACACGTTATTCAAGAAATATTTGAGAGTTCGTTCCGTGATGATTACAGTACACAAAACATTTTCACTTACCTACAAACCCAGGTTCGTGACGGCGAGGGAGCAAGGATGGATTGTTGAATTGAAAACACATTGTGATTCGCACAATACAATCGTCTATGTATTTTTATCCTTTCGTGATCATCGTTCATCGGCCGATGAACAAAGCGATAGACCCTTAATCGTAACAGACGAGATTCGCGCGTGAACATAATTTTATTCGCACCTAACTCTCGTATCACGCGTGATAGCGCAAACTTCGATAGCTCAGTCTTATATATACAAAAGAGAGAGAGAGAGAGAGAGAGAGAGAGAGAGAGAGAGAGAGAGAGAGAGAGAGAGAGAGATGAAGGGAGGGAGAAGGAGAGAGAGAGAGAGAGAGAGAGAGAGAG